CCCCAAAACCCCAAAACCCCAAAACCCCAAGAGTTGCCGAATCTATTGAAAGTTACTATCTTGAGCTTTAATTAATTTAAATATTGGTTCTCAAATTGAACTTAATTTCTCTCTAAATTGAGATTTATTATTTTCTTAAAGTATCTCCAAGATTTAAGCAAAACTAAAACTCTTAAACACATATTTTTAGCATGTAAGTTAATCTGACAAGAAGGATCACCGAGTTTGCTACAAAAACTTTTATACCCCAAAAACAAACACAACTGCCAAATCTCATGAATAATTTTATATAACATAGCTGTATCTTTTCAGTGATTTCTTCTCTTCATTTCCATTTCTGCATGCTTGATTCTCTTTAAGTGGTTGCTTTTCCTCTATAATTTCCTTATCACATTGCAGGGACTTGTCCGTATCCTGATTCTTTGGCTAAAAATTATGTTGGGCAAATATAGTGAAACAATATCCAAAGATACAAAGGCGGGTTTAAGTCTTACCTCTCCGACAGGACTTGAATTTCCAAAGGAAGGAGCACTAGCAGGAGGGTTTATAAATTTAGGCTGCATAGAGTAATGAGAGAAGCTCCCACGGTGTCTATACTCTCCTTGCTTTTTAGTCTTTTTGATGTCTAAACATTGAATAATTTTAGGCAATTTTTTTAGCTCAATTATAAATTTGCTACCATTGGGTAATTGTTATTTAGCCATAATTTGTTTCTTCAACTATTCTAATGTGTTTACCATTTAAAGAGCTTGGTGACAGTAAATATGAATTTTTCTCTAAATCCATATTGGGTGATGATTCCTGACCATATTTATCCATTAAAATATCTTTTCTAGTATGCTCGGCATGCTTCCTAAATGAAATGGGCAATGTTGACATGCATATGAGAATCAGATTCACAGATATAACTACCAAGAACAGGTGTATTATATTTTAGCTTAAATCTGTTCTTTTTCTTCTCTAATTTTTCAGGATAGTTTCTTTTTGTATATTCATAAGTTGAGTGAAAATTTATCACCCTAGGATATTAAGCCTTATCTTACCGATTTGGGTTGTCTTCATAAAACTGAGGATACTTTAGGAATGGGTTTAATTGCATTTCCCTTTGCTTCTCAATCTTTTTAATATATCACAACATCTGAGATACAGCTGGGATATTATTTAGCCGTTCCGCGCCAATATTTGATGGAAGGAACTAAACAGATTAAGCGGGATACCTACTTCATCTAGTTCAGTATAACCTCAACTTGGCTTTATTGCTGTCGGAATGATTGGACTGATATATGCTTGCTTCGAGTGGCTCAACTTCTGGCGTATCAGATTCATCTTTTTGCTATCTCTTGCTTCTTTTTCTCTTTGCAGCTTTTGCATTCGTTCTTGATCTTTCTTTTGCCTCTCTTTTTCTTTTCTATAGATCTCCTTATCTTTGTTCTTCTTCAGAAGGAGGATACACTTTTTGATGTCTTCGTTAAGAAAATCTGCGCCTTCTGATTCAGGTTCGTCTTCTTTTTCTTCAAGCTTCTTTTTAGCTTCTTTGACTTTGCGCTTGACTGTCTTGAAGGCTCTGACTTGTGACGGATCAATGATTACTCCAGGGTCCCTTTGCCTTCGGTTTCTAGTGGATTTTCTCTGAACTCGAAATGCATTTTCCCTCTTCTTCCCGATCTTCTGAGTGGAATATTCAGATTCACTTGATTTTTCTTCTCTAATAAATGAATAAATAAGAATTCTTACTGGTTTTGAGAGTGATTTTGGGAACTCTCATGACTGGAGTACGAACTGTTTCTCTTTTTCAAGGATTTTGCTCTTGAACTTTTATACCTAGAACTTGTGCTAGAAGCTTCCATTTTTATTTCACAAATATTTATAAACACTTGGGTTTCCCTCTTTTATGGGGTTTTGGGGTTTTGGGGTTTTGGGGTTTTGGGATTTTGGGGTTTTGGGG